GAAGAGCCAGGTTCGAACTCAGCAGCACCCACGTGGCGGCTAACAGCCGTCTGTAACTCCAGTTCTAGGGGATCTGACAGTCTCTTCTGTCCTCTGCAGGCATTGCACGACATGGGTGCACTTACCTACGTGCAGGTAATACAAGCATACACATAAAATAAAAATATAAATAAAATATTTTAAAAAATTAAAATTAAACCTTTTATGCATTAGAAAGGGCACCAACAGAATGAAAAGTAAAGTCACAGATGGGAGAAAATATTTGCAAATAACATATCTGATAAAGAATTTTCACAATTCATTGACAAGAGATAGTCCAATAAAAATTTAAATGACTCGAACAGGCATTTCTCTAAAGAATATATCCAAATATCCAGCAAACACATAAAAAAAAAAACTCTTAATCATAAGGTCTCAATGACACCGTCACACCCACTAGTACTACCAATTTAAAAATTAAGTGAGAACATAGAAATAGGTGTCAGTGAGGATGTGGAAAATCAAAGTCCTTCATATATTGCTGATAGAAATGAACAGTTATGTAGCACTGTGCAAAAAGTTGAGTAGTTCCTCAATAAATTAAGTACAGAATTGCCAGATAACAATTCCACCCCTAGAAGATGCATTTTTTTCTATGACATTGATAAATTTAGACACTGGTCTTCATTTCTTTCTCCCTTCCTTCCTCCTCCTTTTCTTCCCTCCCTCCTTTCCTCCCTCCCTCCCTTCCTTCCTTCCTTCCCTCCCTCCTTCCTTCCTTCCTTCCTCCCTTCCTTCCCTTCTTCTTTCCTTCCTTCCTACCTTCCTTCCTTCCCTTCTTCTTTCCTCCCTCCCTTCCTTCCTTCCCTTCTTCTTTCCTTCCTCCCTCCCTCCCTTCCTTCTTTCCTTCCCTCCCTCCCTCCTTCCTTCCTTCCTTCCTTCCTTCCTCCCTCCCTCCCTCCCTCCCTTCCTTCCTGCCTTCCTTCCTTCCTTCCTGCCTTCCTCCCTTCCTTCCCTTCTTCTGTCCTTCCTTCCTTCCTTCCTTCCTTCCTCCCTCCCTCCCTCCCTCCCTTCCTTCCTGCCTTCCTTCCTTCCTTCCTGCCTTCCTCCCTTCCTTCCCTTCTTCTGTCCTTCCTTCCTTCCTTCCTTCCTTCCTCCCTCCCTCCCTCCCTCCCTTCCTTCCTGCCTTCCTTCCTTCCTTCCTGCCTTCCTCCCTTCCTTCCCTTCTTCTGTCCTTCCTTCCTTCCTTCCTTCCTTCCTCCCTCCCTCCCTCCCTCCCTTCCTTCCTGCCTTCCTTCCTTCCTTCCTGCCTTCCTCCCTTCCTTCCCTTCTTCTGTCCTTCCTTCCTTCCTTCCTTCCTTCCTCCCTCCCTCCCTCCCTCCCTTCCTTCCTGCCTTCCTTCCTTCCTTCCTGCCTTCCTCCCTTCCTTCCCTTCTTCTGTCCTTCCTTCCTTCCTTCCTTCCTTCCTCCCTCCCTCCCTCCCTCCCTTCCTTCCTGCCTTCCTTCCTTCCTTCCTGCCTTCCTCCCTTCCTTCCCTTCTTCTGTCCTTCCTTCCTTCCTTCCTTCCTTCCTCCCTCCCTCCCTCCCTCCCTTCCTTCCTGCCTTCCTACCTTCCTTCCTGCCTTCCTTTTTGTCCACCTTGGGTATTTTGTTATTATGTTTTATTTCTAATTTTTTACACTTTATTGTGTATATACACATGCACATGACTACATCTTAGTCTGTGTGAATCTATGGAACTCAAGTCTGCTTGCTTTATAGCCATCAATTAAGACCTCCCATGGGACACCCTGGACCCCAGTAAGGCTTTGGCCCTCAAGTCTCTCTCCATCGCTTCTGGGCTGCTGCCTTCATCCTGCTGGTCCTGTGAGGTGTACTGCCCCCTTTCTTTTATCTGTAACTAATAAAAAGCTGCTTCTGTTATTACCTTTATATTATGTGATCATCTCTGTGTCTTGCCTGACCAGCACACTTGAACCTAAGTTTCTTCTTTGCCTGTGCAAGTGGTCATATTGGTAAAGTGAATGAAAATTCCCAGGGACAAAAACCCTGTATCTTCAACTGAATCTCTTGCAGGGCTGATCAACTGATTTGAACTTCATTATTGTGGAAATGTTGCACCAGAACCTATTCACAATTTATCTTGGGATATCTTTAGTCCCCTAAGTAGCCATTCTTTGTCCACCTCTGTGTTTGATCTAACATCCTATGACTAACAAATAAAAGCCTTCTGAAATGTATTAACTTAGCAGACCACTAACTTCCACCAGCCCAAGGGACTGTAGCAGAATTCATCCCACTTTGCTATAAAACTGCCCCTCTGATGTCCCCGCCAAGGCATCTGAAAATTGTCTGGATTTACGGCTTTCTTTGTTGTGTTACTATAAAAACTTCATGAAACTGTTACCATGTTGGAACACAGAATTTGGGGTGACCAAAATCTGTGTTCCCAGGTCATGGTCACTCATATTGGACTCCAGAATAAACTATCTCTTATCTTTTTTGAGGTGAGAGTTATGCTTTTATATCAACAGAATAAACTGCACACAGAGCAGACAAGAGCCCCAGGGTATCTGCCAATACAAACAAGTTTCCTGTGAGAGGGACACCTGGTCATTCTCTGATCAAACGTTTAGGTGTTGGCTATTCATCAGGACAAAGAAATAGCTTGTGAAAGACATGCTGTAAACATATGTCACCACCTCACCAGGAGTCCTATCAGAGCAAGGATAGAATTTACAGCCATTGTCCAGAGAGAGGCCTCAAAACCAAACTAGGGGAAAAGAAAGCATTTCTTACCAATTTCTGCAAGAGGCAGCTACAGTGACTCAAGACAGATGATGATAGTAATACCTACATTTTTGGAAAAACTTTCATGTTCTGGCCTTGATGACCCTATATATTACCAAGGTCCCTTGGCCAGTGGTCCTCATGAAGCTGGATAGAAAGACAGGGAAAAATATGGGGCATGGGTGGGGAAAGGAGACCCTTCATCCTGGAGTCATCTGAAGTCTCTTTACTGGCTGGGAAGCAAGAATTCTAGTCCAGTTAACATCTGCTGTATAGGTTGTTGATACAGAGATTATATTCCTTTCATATATATAGACATTTTAAGTCAAAGTAGGAAAGAACCAGACTTAGGGCCTGAGTGTATTTGACCCTGAGTAGGGCCTCATATCTTTTGGATGATATTTTCTGGGGCTCTCAAACAAGACTATTAACTTTGTTTGCATTAAAGATATCCTACTTTCCTGCATCCCTGTGATCTTATAGATCATAATCTTGTCAGGTGCCCCTCAGGAACTGCCCTGTGATCTCATTTAGGTTCCTAACAGCTCTTTGACAATAATAGTTTCAAAACTGTGAACAGAAGTTCCCAGAAACTTCTTGAAACTGAACCTTCTGCAAAGGCTGACCAATTGATTAGAACTTCAATGATTGTGGAGAATCTGGAATGTTCCAGAGCCCAGTTACATTTTATCTTGGGCCATCATTAGCCCCCTAATTGATGACTCCTTGCCAACCTCTATTTCTGACTTACCATCCTGTGGACTAACAGATAAAAAGCCTCTGGAATCTATTAACTTAACAACACCCTATCTCCCATCCACCAGATAGCATGTGAGGCCTTATAGCTGAGCTTTCTGTGTATCCACCTACTTAATGTTTCCACCAATGTATTTGAGAAATGTCTTGATTTATGACTTTTCTTTGTTCTGTTACTATACTATAAAAACTGCATGAAACTGCTTCCACATTGGAACATGGAATTTGGGGTAACCAGAATCTCTGTTCTTGGGCTATGGTCACTCATATTTGGCTCCAGAATAAACTCTCTCTTTTGTGTTGACAGAACCCTATATATGATTGTTGTGAAGACAATAAAGTGTGGCTCTCAGTGAAGTGTGTATCCATGCTGTTGGGTGTGTCTTTCTTGGTGAGGGTTTTTCTTTCTCTTATTCCTCATTCTTAAAATCTGTATTACAATATCCTTATTAAACTTAGCTCTGCTTCATACTTAAAAGTCCTGAAATTCTTTTATCCCTAGAAGCCAGGAATCCCAGTTTGGCTTATATCAAGGTCCTTAAAAGGCGAGGCTCAGGCTAATGTTTAGGGACCTCAGGCTGCTGGTTCAGTGCCCCTCACCACTGGTACTTAGACCACTATTTCTTTTTTTTTTTTTTTTAATGTGTGTGCATGTATTGCCTGCCTGTAGGTAAGTGCACCCATGTCATGCAATGCCCTTGGAGGTCAGAAGAGGCTGTCAGATCCCCTGGGACTGGAGTTACGGACAGTTGTTAGCTGCCATGTGGGTGCTGGGATTCGAACCTGGGTCTTCTGCAAGAACAACCAGTGTTCTTAACCCGAGCCATCTCTCCAGCCCCTAGACCACTATTTCTGTTTAGAGACTGCTAGTTGAATGAGAATTCAGAGTGGTTCCATTATTCCAGGGGCAACCACCCCATAAAGGAACTACCCAAATCACCTGCTTCAACATATTTACATTTCAATAGCTAACAGAGCACAGGCAGAGGATGAAGGCAGGAGAAATTTAAAGTTGACTAATGTAGTTAATTATTTGTAGTTCTGGTTAATGATTTCATAGAAAAATGAAATTAATGAGACTTAAAATTTTCTATATACAGTATAATAGCCAGACATGGCATTTGCAATTGGTAAAATACATTATACACCCATGATGTTCTGAGTGGTGACAATGGAGACATTCTCATTTTTCATAAGGTAATATTAGATCAATAAATACTATTATATTATCAATTTAAAGGTAAGTAAAACCCCTTTGTTTTAAAGTCTGTTATAAATCATTGGCAGCAATATGGGTTTTTTGTTGTTGTTTTGTCTTTCGTTTTGTTTTGAAATAGGGTCGTAATATGTTCCAGCTGACCTGGAACTCCTACACACTAGGCTGGTCTTGAACTCACAGAAATCTACCTGCCGTTTTCTCCAGAGCAGCTGGGATTAAGGGTGTGGGCTACTAGACCCAGCAGCAGCAATGTGTTTTAAAGAGACAAATCAAAAATGTTGTCACTGCTCTGTACTAAAACATAGTTTTTGTTTGGTTGGGTTTTTTGTTTTTGTTTTTTTATCTCATTGTAGCCATAGTTGGCCTGGAACTCGTTATGTAGACCAGACTGGCCTCAATCTCACAGAGATCAGCCTGCCTCTAACTCCCAAGTGCTGGGACTAAAGGCATGTGCCACCACTTCCAGCATACTTTTGTTTTACAACCATCCTGATTTTTAAATTTTTATTTTAAAATTAATATGTAAATTATATAGAATTTAGAAAAAATAAACAAAAAATATTATATATGTTCTTTTAGAAAAAAAAATGCTATAGCTTTGATTTGTTGCTTTCTCTGGCTATTGATTGATAGATATCTGTCATCGTCTTTGTTGGGAATTGCATCAAATGAAATTTCAAACCAAAATCATTCAAAAGATCAGAAAAGAAAAAGCCACGTTTTGTGACACATAATCCCAGCAGTTGGGAGGCTGAGGCAGGAGGATCGAAAGTTCAAGACTAGCCTAGGCTATGCAACTTTGTCTCAAAAAAACAAAACAAAAGGCTAGACAAGAATGGTGACGAAGGGTGTTTCTTGATTACTCACTGGACAGAGAAATTTCACTTTCACATCGTCATATAGAGCTGGACAGTTGAGTACATTAATTATAGCTCTATCTGTTTCAATGTCATGAAGTATCTGTGAATAAATACACGCAATTCAGAACTATAAGCCCAGCTGATTCACTCATTCATGCATCTTGAATCTATCAAGTATTCTTGGTCTCGTAACGCAGTCAATTTATATATAAGTAATGTTAATCTTTTCTATGAAATTGCAACATGGTTGAGACCTGCCTTAGGTAAGTTAAGGCTGAGACCTGAGCAGACAGCCTGAGAAGGCCAGTTCCGACCTCCATATAGTACTGTGATTTCAGCAGAGTGCCACAGAGTGCCGGTTCTGGCCTCCCTCTGGCACAGGGGCTGAGAACTCAGGGGACTGCCTGAGAGTGCTCTGGATCCTGTCTCCACGTGGTGGTGAGCTTCCCCTAATTGTACCATACCCAACCCCCTAACTTCGGGATTGCATGAGCACCTCCCCCCAAGACCCCGGGGAAGACCTAGCTTGGTAGGATAAGGCTGAGACCTGAGCAGACAGCCTGAAAGTGTGGGTTCCAACATCCATCTGTGTATTGGCTGAGATCTCAGCAGACCGCCAGAGACTGCCTTTCTGGCCTTCCTCTAGCATAGGGGCTGAGAACTCAGCAGGAGTTCCAAAATCAGGCCCCCTTGGGAACTTCGCAAATTTTGCTCTGAGTTCCCGCTAATAGAGATGCAAACCTTAGAAGGAAAGCCTGAGTGTACCTGGCTGGAACCTGACTTGGGCTTCTGTGGGAGCTCCTGAGTAGCTGATCTGAAGCCATCTGTTCCCTCCAAAATAGAACATGAGAGAACCTGAAACCTGGACAAACCAGATTTACATAACCAATAAGGAAAGGACCAAGGCACACCAATAATACAAACAGAAGTATACTTCAACTTAAATCTCATATCAGAATCACAAACAACAAAAGAAATTCACATGCCAAAATCACAATGAAAGAATAATAAAATGGAAAGTCAAAACACTATGTTCCCACCAAACTCTACCAGTCCTGTTCTACAAAGAGAACCCTCTGGAGACAACCCAGGACACAGAATTTAAAAGAACAGTCATAAACACAATCAAGGAATTCAAAGCATTTAAAGAACACACGACCAAACAAATCAAAGAATTAAAAGAAGATAGGGATAAACTTCTGAATGAATTCACAAAAGAGATAGAAACATTGAAGAAAACTCAGGTGAAAATGAAGAAGGAAGTAAAAAACTCAATAAGCCAACTTGAAACCACAGGGGAAAGCCTCACCGCTAGAGTGAATGAAATGGAAAACAGATATCAACACTGGAAGATAAAGTTGAAGAACCAGACAACTCAAGCAAAGATTATGAAAAACTTAAGAAAAAACCCACAGGAATAGAATATGCAAGAGATATGGGACACCATGAAAAGACCAAATCTACGGCACAGAGGAAGAAGAATTTCAGGATAATGGTTTTGACCAGGTCTTAAACAGGATTGTAGAAGAGAATTTCCCAAAACTAAAGAAAGACATGCCCATACAAATACAGGAAGCACATAGAACACCAAAAAAGACAGGATCAGAAGAGAAACTCCCCATGACATATCATACTAAAAACACTAAATGTACAGAACAAAGAGAGAATACTGAAAGCAGCAAAAGAAAAACAAGTCACATGCAAAGAAAAGCTCATCAGAATTACAGCTGACTTATCAATGCAAACTATGAAAACCAGAAGAGTCTGGACCAAGGTATTTCCAGGTCTAAATGACAATAGATGCCAGCTCAGAATACTTTACCCAGCAAAAATGTCTATTATAGTTGAGGGGGAAAGAAAACTCTTCCATGACATGAAAAGCCTGAAAGAATACATATCCATGAAACCAGCCTTTCAAAGAATACTTGAAGCAGCACAAAGAGAGGAGAAAGGAACAACAATAACCCAGAGGCAATGAAAGACAATAGTATAATTGAAGAAACACAAAATTAGACAAAGAACACAAACAGCAATCAAAAGGACAGCAACCAATACACACCTCTCAATAATAACTTTAAATATCAATGGACTGAACTCCCCAGAAGACACAGGCTAAGTGAATGGATTAAGAAACAAAATCCATCTCTTTGCTGTTTGCAAGCAACTCATCGAAGAATATTCCAAGCACATACTGGGCCATACAACAAACATCAATAAATATTAAAAAATTGAAATAATTCCATGCATTCTATCAGACCACAATGCAATAGAGCTCAAAATCAACACTGGATGAAGCCCTAGTCAATATATGAACTCATGGTAAATGGATTAAGAAACAAAACCCATCTTTTTGTTGTCTGAAAGAAACTCATCTCACTTCAAAGGAAAAATTAAGAAAGAAATAAAAGAATTCCTGGAATTCAACAAAACGGACAATACAACACAGCACATCCAGTGGGACACTTTAAAAGCAGTCTTAAGAGGGAAGTTTATAGCTCTAAGTGCCTACATTAAAAAATCAGAAAGTGCACAAATCAATGACTTAACATCGCAACTCAAGGCTCTAGAAAGGCAAGCACAAATGAAACCCAAACCCAGCAGATGAGAAGAAATAGTAAAGATCAGAACAGAAATTAATGAAATAGAAACAAAGAAAACAATACAAAGAAGCAATGACTCTAAGAGCTGATTCTTTGAAATGATAAACAAGGTAGACAAACCCATAGCCCAGTTAAGCAAAAGAAAGAAAGAGCAAATCTAAATCCACAAAAAATCAGCTATGAAAGGGGAAATATCACAACAGACACCAAAAAGATTCAGAACTTTATAAGGGAATATGTTAAAACCTATATTCTATTAACTTTGCAAACCTAAAGAAATGGAAAACTACCTAAAATCATGGAACCACCAAAGCTATCCTAAGGAGAGAACAGCTTTTACAGACCCATAACATATAAGGAAACATACGACTTGAATTATTCAAAACAATAGAAACAGAGGGAGAACTCCCAAATTCCTTCTGTGAAGCCCACATTACTCTAATACCCAAACCAGTTAAAGACACAACCAAAAAAAAAGAAAAGAAAAGAAAACTACAAACCCATAACCTTAATGAACATAGATTCAAAAATTCTCAACAAAATACTTTCAAACCGCATATAGACGTACATCAAAAAGATCATTCACCGTGATCAAGTAGGCTTTATTCTAGTGATGCAGGGATGGTTCAATATATGCAAGTCAGTCAACGTCATTAATCATATAAATGGACTCAAAGGCAAAAACTACATTGTCATCTCAATAGATGCAGAAAAGGCTTTTTGACAAATTCAGCATGCATTCATGATAAAAGTTCTAAAGTAAATTGGACTGAAGGGAACATACCTCAACATAATTAAAGCAATATACAACAAACCCATGGCCAACATCATTCTAAATGGAAAAAAACTGGAAGCATTCCCATTAAAATCAGGCACCAGACAACGATGTCCACTATTTCCACTCCTTTTCAACATAGTGCTTGAAACTCTTGTTAGAGCAATAAGACAGGAGAAGGAAATTAAAGGAGTACTAACTGGAAAAGAAGAGGTCAAACTATCCCTTTTTGCAGATGATATGATACTATACCTAAGAGATCCCAAAAGTTCCACCAGAATTTCTTAGAACTGATCAACACTTTCAGTATAGTGGCAGTTTATAAAACCAATTTACAAAAACCAGTAGCCTTTCTATATACCAATAACAAGCAATTAGAGGAGGAGTACAGGGAAATGTTCCCATTCATAATTGCTACAAAAAATATCTTGGAATAAATCTGACCAAAGACACCAAAGATCTCTACAATGAAAATTTTGAATCGTTAAGAAAGAGATTGAGGAAGACACCAGGAGATGAAAGGACCTCCCTTGCTCATGGATTGCAAGAATTAATATTGTGAAAATGACCATCCTACCAAAAGCAATATATAAAGTCAATGCAATCTCAATCAAAATCCCTATGACATACTTCACAGAATTAGAAAAAAACATCCTTAAATTCATATGGAAGCACAAAAGACCCCAAATAGCCAAAATAACCCTGAGCACAAAGAACAAGGCTGGAGATCTCAAAGTATACTTCAGAGCTATAGTCATAAAAACAGCATGGTACTGGCACAAAAATAGACACATAGATCAATGGAACATCACTGAAGACCCAAACCTGAGTACACGCAGTTTCAGCCACCTGATATTTGACAAAGGAGCCAAGAACACACAATGGAGGAAAGACAGCATCTTCAACAAATGTCGCTGGCAAAACTGGATCTCCACCTGTAGAAAAATGAAACTGGATCCTTATCTTTCACCTTGCACAAAAGTCAACTCCCCATGAATCAAAGACCTCAATGTGAAACTGGAAACACTGAAACTATTAGAAGAAAATATTGGCAGTAACTTACAGGATATAAGTATAGGAAAGGATTTTCTAAATCAGACAGAAGTTGCTCAGGAATTAAGATCAGCAATCAACAAGTAGGACCTCATTAAACTAAAAAGCTTCTGTACAGAAAAAAGAAAAAAATCAAAAAAGTAAAGAGAAAACCCACAGAATGGGGGGAAAAATCTTCACCAGTGACATATCTGGCAGAGGTTTAGCATCCAGAATATATAAAGAACTCAAAAAACAAGCAAGAAACCAAATGACTCAATGAAAAGATGAGCTAAAGATCTAAACAGAGAGTTCTCAAAGGAAGAAATAAAGATGGTTAAGAAACATCTCAAAAAGTGTTCAACATTGTTAGTAATTAGGGAAATGCAAATTAAAACCACCCTAGGCTATCATCTTAACCCAATCAGACTGGCTAGGCTCAAGAGAACAAATGATACCAAATGCTGGCAAAGATGTAGAGAAAAGGGAACGCTCATTCACTGCTGGTGGGATTGCATACTCGTGCAGCCTCTATGTAACACAGTGTGTAGAACTCTTAAAAACTAAAAATGAACCTACCATATGATCTGGTTATACCACTCCTTGGCATATACCCAAAGGACTCATCCTATTGTACAGACACTTGTACAACCATGTTTGTTGCTGCTCTATTCACAATAGCTAAGAGATGGA